ACGTCTATGCGGAAGCTCTTGGATCTATGCCAGAATCTGCCTACATACTCCTTCAATGGCCGGGAATTTGTCCCCTTTTCTTGCGAACGCTGTAACTTCTCCTCAACCTCATCAGCGAGCGTTGCACCTCTAGCCGCCGAGACTGTCGCCAGCTGCACAAAATCAATATCGCTCTGTGGCGATCCCGAGAGAATAGTTTGCACCAGCATCTGCGGCACCCAGTCGCAGGCATCACACAGGGCGGATGAATTCTGCAAAGCAAATACAGCCGTCTCGGTCTCGGGAAGCAGGTACACGGCCGACGTGAATCCCTGCATGCTTCCTCCGTGATAAACCACCAGTCGAGACGAGAGCCCACGGCCAATCACAGGCATAGCGGGGACAAGATGCTTATTATAGTTGAAGGACCCAAGAGGTGATGGGAGTTGTGTGCGAGCCCATGCTAGTGCGTAAGATGTTTCGCGCATGGAGTGCACGGGAAGCTGGTTATGCGGACTCCAGATTGTAGACAGCTGCTTAAAGGGCGAGCCAGGCGTGCTCGTACGCTGGTGGTTGAACTGGTCATTTGCGGCATGCATTAGATTTTTGTAGAAGCGCGCCAGATCATTCGTACAACTGCGCACTCCTCCCGAGGCAGCCATGATGGTCTTGTCGGAGATGGTGGGAACAGGAACCTCGACTGGTGTGCCGTCTTTGAGAGGAAAGTAAGCCTTGGCTGCGTTGGGATCTTTTGAAAATTCGTCATCAAGACAAGTGCGCGTCATGCCTAGCGGTCCAAAGATTTTTTCTTGGAGATTAGCGCCGAGAGTTTTGCCAGTTGACTTTTCGATAATTCGTCCAACCGCCTCGAATGCAAAATTGGAATAGAGAAAGTCGGCGCGGAAAGCTCGGACTGTTGGCTGGGAGATCCACGCATCGAGCGCCTCGGACTTGGAGAGGAGAATGTTGCCGGCACATTGTAACCAAAGGGCATCTGCTCGAGCCATGCCGATTCTATGGGACATTAGATCAATCAGAGTGATTTCACTTCCTCTGCCGTCAAATGCGTGGGCCAGCTCTGGCAAGATGTGAGATACTGGCGCCTTCCAGTCGAGAGTTCCATCTTGTACCAAGATGCCCACCAGAGCCGACACCATCGCTTTCGTCATTGATCCAATAAAGTAAATTGTGTCTCCATCTGGGAGCTTGCCATCTTTCACGCTGGCATGTCCAACGTGGTGGGAGTAGACTTCAGTCCCGCGGTGAAGGACACTGATTGAGAGCCCTGGAGCGCCGGCAATGCGGCATATTTTCGATATGAGGGCTTCTTGGGCTTCTAGATTGCGCCTCAGCTTCATCCCACTGTCGTGCTCCATTGTCGGTTGTGGAATTCGATATGACGGTGTTAATGTTGAAGGGGAACGGATGGGATAGATTGCAAAATATTGAGTGATTCACAATGTTGAGAGTTCAGCGGGAAGAGGAAGACAAACTATACGACTGCTCTTTTTTTGCCCATTTTCTTACCACAGATGCCGGTTGTGTGAAGCAATGTGCAATCCTGCCCTGGCTGGACAAAGAGAGCACTGACCGGTTGTCCCGCCCGTAGTCGGCCAATGGCATCAATTGATGCCATTCTCTGGACAATGTTCGCTACTGGCTTGAAAAGAGAATAAGCATTCTCGTCAAAGGGTCGTAACTAAGAATCTTGCCATCTAGATATAGCCGTGTACGCAACCAGTTCGTCGTGATACAGCTTTGGGAAAATGTCCTTTGCGTATTGTTTCCAGTCCGTAGTAGCAGGACGCTGGAAGAACTTGACATAATCCCAGTATTCAGGGTACCATCCACCGTCTTCCCAGTCTACCAGTCCCGTGATCTTCCCGTCCTGAACCAAGATGTTTCTGGGGGCGAGGTCGCAGTGCGAGAGGACGATGCGGTGGTCGGTTCGCAAGTGCAGGGAAAGCGCCTCTCGAACCGCCTCGGGCGTAATTTTAAACAGACTGGACAGCAGAAAACCATTGAACATTTCTTCATCGCGACAAGGAGGGTGATGGTAGGTATTGAGAACTCTAGTATCCCGGATTTCCGTGCCATCACAAGCACCAATAAGCTCACTGGGAGGAGCAGTAGATCTCATCTGCTCCAGAATCTCGCGGAGCTGGCGGCATACGTCTCTCTTTTCCTCCACCGACATGGTCGGCCACAGCTTGTCAAGGGACTCGCCTTGAACATAGTCCATGTGGATCTCGCTTTTGCCGTCGGGAAATGTCTTGGCCTGATGGACATGGGGAACTGGGAGGCCTGCCTTCCTGGCGACTCTCATTGCCTCAGCCTCGCCAACGGCTAGACGCTTCCCCGACTTTACGACAACGCCGTCAGAGCGGTGGACGACCTTGCGATGGAACAACTGATGCAATATCACAGCATCTAATGCGCATGCTAAGTCAGTTGGCCGCAGCTATGTACCAAAAGGCCCTGTGGTCGAACCAACCTGGTTCATGCTCCTCGTCAGACTCAGACTCATCAGAAGATCTTGCTTGACCATTGGCAATTCTTCTCTCTCTAAGTTTGACACGGTAGAGGGACTCGCCCGGCCGTTTGCCGCGTGAACGCGACACGGCATGCGCCGCTATATTTGGACGGGACGTATTTTGCATCATGACCGTACGGGACACAATTAAGCGGCGTGCGAAGCAACAGGTTAGTGTTTTGAGATGTGAGGAAACATGGCAGAGAATATAAGTGCGGGGCAGTCGCAGAAATCACAGTTGTTTAATCGAGCGCGCTCATTTCAGAAGGCCCGGTGACTCAGAGGATGAAGCAGTCGAAACGAAATAACAAGAGTACAAAGTAAGGCTTGGGTAGAAGGTACTTCTATTTCCACTCACCTGGATTCGATTTCAACTTATCACGTGTTGCACCGTACCTAATTGGTTTAAAAAAGCCGATAGCTTGAAAAAGTAAATAGTGGGTTCGCTGTACTAGTAGTACTAGTGGCAACTTCTATGTAAGTCGAGAGAGCTGTTATTGGTAAGATACATATATCTGCGATTTCATTAAAACATAAATATCGACATTTTATAGACCAACTACAGATCTAGGAGACAGTAGGCTATCGAATTCAGCGCGATTCCGGAAAGATTCTAAAGGAAGAGCTCCAACATTATCAATAAAAGGGTCTCTTTCAAAGTTGCAGTCTACTAAGTAGTCGGCCAGAAACCTATCAAAATACAAAAATCTTGAACGTGTTCAAACTTACAGTAACGTCAAGTGCATATATCTTTCAGCCAACACGCAATAAAACCCTCTTGCAGAAAACTGCCACCGGCTCACTCCAACCCGTCAATTGGTCACATGTGCAGTTTCTTTTCCGCAACCCTCGAGTCTCCCAAGCAAAACACCCCCCACAGCCACATTCGACTTCACGCCGCATATACAAACCACAACTCATGCCTCCTCGTCACCTACTCGCCATCAGGCATACTCACAGCCAGAGCACAAGTCGCCCCAGCATCGACCGTCAAAACCGTCCCCGTAATCCACCTCGCCTCACCACCGGCCAAAAACCGCACCGGTCCAGCACAATCCCACGCATTCCCCTCGGTCTGCAACAGACTCCTCCGCCTCCTCGCCTCCCTCACCTCGGCCGACATGCCCCCCTCGGCATCATACACCATGGGCGTATACAACATCCCTACAAAGTCAGCACAGGACTCCCCCAAGATACAAACTAAAGTAAAGTCTCACCAGGACAAACGCAATTCACCCTCACCCCATCCTTAGCATGGTGCGCCGCCATAGCCCTCGTCATATTCACCACGGCGCACTTACTCGTCGGATACAACAGACTCGGCGTGCCGCCGCGCAGGCCCGCCACCGACCCCAGATTCACAATGCTCCCGCGCACCCCGGCCTCAGGCTCATTATCCCGCATCGCCGGCACCGCATACTTGGCCATGAGCATCATGCTCGTGACATTGACCTCGAGGCCCCTCGCCCACCGCGCCGCGTCCACGTCGACCGCCGTGCCCGGGGGCCCCAGCACCCCGACGCCGTTCACCAGCACGTCCACCCGCCCAAACAGGCGCAGCGCCGCGTCCACGACCCGCGCGCACTCCTCGGCCGACGACACGTCCGCCGCCACCGCCAGCGCCGACGCCCCCTCGTTCTCCGCGAGCACCAGCTCCGCCGTCCGCTGCGCGAGCGCCTCCTCGCGGTCCACGCAGACCACCTTGGCCCCGTCCTCGGCGAGCAGGAGCGCGATGGCGCGCCCGTTGCCGATGGTCTCGCCGCGGCTGCCGGCGCCCGTGACGATGGCCACCTTGCCTTGGAGGCTGCGCGACGGGCGGGGCGGGTTGGCGGCCGACATTTGATCGATGTCTTCTTTTTTTGGAGGGAGGGGGTTGGGTTGGAAAAACGTACCGACTTTCTTTTCTTGTTAGGCAAATATATAGGCGCGCGTGATTTGTGGTGTGGTGTGGTTTGGGCAAAGTATTCGAGTTTGAGGATAATATATTATAATGCTGTGCCCAATCGGTGCCTCGGCAGTGGTCGGCTACCCTGGGGTTCCTGGCCGAATGCTACACTCCCTTGCGTCAGATTCAAATTTACACGACGTGCAGAGTATTACAGATTCAGACAAGAATCCGCGACCAAGTATATAGTGCCTGGCCTCATCGTTGAAACTAACATACGAACCAAGGCATCTTATACAACGGTCGCACACTGCCGGTCCAAGTCAACGGTCAAGTGAATACACTTGCGACAACACGGCAGAAGTTGGACTTCGCTGGGTATAACTCTATTGCCTATGTAATTAGGTAGCCGGTACACAGAATGTCCTGATGCGCTGAGCCTTGCTGCCGTCCAACCCTTGCCCGAGTCAAATTGAAGTGTATCAGCCCTTGTCCAGAAACAGCCAGATGCCAATATAGAGATGTCTCTATATAAATATACGCCACGAGCCAAAACATAAAAAAACAAAGGAAAAATACAGAAAAAGAAAAGAGTTAAACGATTCATGAGACTGCCGCGGATGGCATGTCCTTCTTCCGCCGTATGCTGCCAAAGCGCCGCTTAAGCCCGTCGCTCAGCTTGTTGCCGGTAGAGTGAGCTCGGCGCAAGTCCCCATCTGGGTTATTCTTGTACGTAACGCCGCTGGACAAGGCCTCAGCAGAATGCTGACTGACGCTGCGCTGGTGACTTGCCGCCCACCTGGAGAATCTGTTGGTGCCAGGTGCCATCTCGAATGCATCCGCCTCGCTCAAGTGATGTCGATGGCGTCTTCCCTTCTTCATGTCGCGCTCCAGCGTGAAGGATGGTTCACCCTTGCCTTTGAGATCGTCTGGGTGGTATTGCTACCTACAACGTTAGCTTTTTACTCGCTCATCGATGTAGAAATCCGACTGACAATACCATCCCATCGCTTGTACGCGCCCCCCGCGGCATCAGGCTCTCGCATCAAATCGGCACCTTCTTCATAGTACATGATTCGGCCCCTCATGTCTCTCGCGCCGCTGGGAATGGAGGCGGTGCCTTGGAGGGGAACGTGTTTTATCAATGAATCCATGATATTCTCTCGGGGTGTGGCACGAATGGCCTCCATGTTGGAGTCTTGAACAGCCGCGACGGGTGAGTACTTTTTGTTAAGGTTACGGCTACGCAGAGTCGCATCGTAGGGACCGCCATGGTGGTAGGCGCCACCAATTGTGTCGAGGGCGTCAATTGTGTCCGTCTCTGAGATGCGCTTGCGATGGCGATGAGGGCGCTCGGCAGCCCTTGCCTCGCGTTTAATCATGTCAAGAGGACGGTGAGACATGTCTCCAGGAAATCGCTCAGCAAGTCGAGCTTCCGAACTGGATTTACGATTGCTGTTATACTTCTTCTTATTAGAGTCAGTAGAATCGCTGGCGTTCTGACGGATTCGACGGGCTTTGTCAAGCTGGTTGCGCGGATACTCCGGATAGGACTGACGGCCCCACGTAGTCGATGAGGTATGGGCAGAAAGGCGGGCGTAGCGCGGTTGACACTGGGGTGGAGAGTGAGTGTTGTTTTTGCAAAGGGCGTTGTTGTTGTCGCCGGCGGAGCTTGTGCTGTTGCGTTGTGACGGAGACGTAGGAGGGGTGACGGCGGAAGAAGTTGTCAAGGCAGCGATAGAAATAGTTTCAGACCACACTCGTGTGAATCGCTGGGAGCCCTTTCGATGGCTGGAGAGGCGGGACGATTCGCTGGATTGGCGTGTCAAGGCAGCGGTAGAAATAGTTTCAGACCACACTCGTGTCGATTGCTGGGAGCCCTTTCGATGGCTGGAGAGGTGGGACGATTCGCTGGATTGGCGTGACTGATATGACGTCGCAAACGGGCTGGACGGAAAGACGTCGAAGCTGCGACGAGTGGGGCTGGCCGAAGATGGAGGGGTGGGATATGGTTGATGAGGCGTAGCGCTGGTCGAGGGCCAGTACGCCGGGATGCCTGGCAAGTCTTTCAAGAGCCAAGGCTTTGGCCTGTTCTCCTTCTTCTTTGGCGCAGGGGAAGGCGGTGGTGATGCAGCAGACGCAGCAGAGGTAGCAGCAGCAGTCTGGGCCTCGAGCCTCTCCTTGGCCGCAGTGATGTATGGGTTGACGTGGGAGCTGCCAAGGCCGGTCTCTTGGTTGGGTTCAGGCGCAGTCAAGGGTTCCAGAAGATATTTATGGGCCTGTCGTCGTCGCTATCGTTAGCATATACGGACAAGGGTGGAGGAGAAAGTTGGCAAAGATGGCAGTGTGATGCACAATGACAGAAAAGAAGACATTAAATGAAAGTGAGGTGATGAAGACCAGGACATGTCAAGTCTGCCGTGCCCAGCCCGCGATTGGTCGTGTACGTAAGCGACCATTGCTTTTGAAAGCAACAATCATGGCAAGTGCGATGACGGACACGTCGAGACACGATTTGCCAAGGGTCCCCACCGAGCAACGCTTCCGTCTTTTCCTCCCGTCAAGACTGTTTCTCGTCTGTCTGTTTCGCTGGTGACGCAACCCGGCGTGCAGGGTCCATCCGTCCATCGGTTCCATGTGGCAGATCCATGATGCATGATGCATCAACCCTTGGGACGTTGACTAATCCCGGTCTCGGCGCCATGGCTGAGCATTGATGACGACCACGGCATGCATCATCATCGCAAGCCCGGGTGGGCCACGGTCAGCGACGCGACGCGCCAACTTGGAGACTGCACAGCAGCCATGTCTGCCAGACAGCATCTCTCGGACTGCCGACGCTCTCTCTGCGGCACTTGCCGCCGACCCAGAGCCGGCATGTCCCCATATCCCCAGCGGTAGGCCCTCCTGTGAGCAGCGGACAACGACGACGAAATGAACTCGACCTTACCCATTGCTTGTCATAGGACGGCCCGTACTCGTCCGCATCTTTGCGGGCCCTGGAAGCTCCTTCTTTCCTGCCCCCTTTACGGAGCAGGGTCTCGATACCCATGTTGCCGGCGCGATGGTAAAGTGACGGAAGAGAGATCTGACTCTCTTTTCAGATGTTGAGGCGTGCTGCTGGTTTTGGTGGTCGAAACGAAGCGCCCTGTTTGTCTGCAGTTCAACTCAGTCAACAAGTAGAAAGGGGATCGACTGAACCGGCCGTAACACACAGCAAGAGAAAGGGCGACAAATGAGTGACGGAGAGGAATCCAAACATCAGTCTCCTTTTAATACTATCAGATACGCACAATGCCGTGGACTACTAGCCTCTATCCACAAAGCTTACTCGCCAGCCATGTCCAGCCCAAGCGTCCAAAATCCCGAGGTACAGACACATCAAGGGTGCTCGTGCAGCTACCTTTGCTACCACCAGCGCCTCCACCAAACTTAGGTACTTTGGAAGGAGAGCATGGACGGAGGGTTCATGTGCATCGCGGAGGCGGCACTGGCGGTGGCATGGTGGCAGAGCGGCATGGCGCCGAGCGGGACTTTAGTGACATGTTGTGGGGAAACAGCCGCAATCTTCAGTCAGGTCTTGGTGGTCCATGTGGGATGTCCCAACTTGTTGTGCAGTGGGGATTTGGAACATGACTTTCTCCGATTGTTATGGGAGAATGATCAAAAGCGCTCCCACGGCGCGGCCACAGCAACCGTTCAAAAAGTCTTCCCTCTCCAAAACAGTCTCGCCAAAACTCCCAATGTCCCATCTACAACCTCGCAAACCCCCCGGCATCCACCCCTCGGATGTCCCCACCACAAAGCTACGCAAGCGCGGGGAACTCCAACAAGAAGGTCAGGTGAGACATGACAAGCGCCCATCCAAGGGTTACCAAGGGTGACAGCGGGACGCCGAACCCTTGCCAAGCCCACATGTGCAAGTCTCATGGATATTTCCGCGCTAACTTCTCAAGTCATTCAAAGTCTACATGTAGCCAACAAGACTTGCCGTTGAGTATGGCGGTGACCAGATCTGGCCCAGTGTATGTATTTGGCGTCCAAGGTACGGAGAACCAAGGGAGGAATACAACCCAACCATGAGACTGTCGGGCAAGCTATGTTCTCCGGCACTGTGTCGCCCGCCGGCGGCCGCGATAGACGCAGGCGCGGCGCATCCATGTCACATGCATGTAAGTTCATTTGTGGACCATGTCTTGCCCGAGGTTAAAAACAGAACAAAATGTGTGACTAGGGCAAAATTTGATATTTATTTCTATTTACACTTTTTTCACGTTGGGCAGCAGATGAAGGGCATATCTCGACTGGCCAGATGGCGTTCAAAATTGGTGCTGGTTTTTGTGCGCACGTGGTAGCCCTAAGTTAGCTAAGCGACATGCCCGTCCTCCCGTGCCTCGACCTACCCTTTTACGACACTCAATGTTGAAGCTTAAGAACAGGATGTTGCCATGGTGCCTGATGCTACAGTGCCCACTCGGACCATTGTCTAACCACCACTGTCGAGCACAGCAACCTCGCAGGCCAAAAGGGTATGGCCAGATTCCCGAAGCCGTCATCACCATTCACGAGAAAGCTTGCTACATGTCACTGTGAACTTAAAACTGTTGCGTGCATGGGATTCTTCTTGGTGGTGTTATTGTTGTTGTTGTTGTTGTTTGGCAGTGAGACTTTTTTCTCCAAGATCTGTACCTTGATGCTGAGGAACTAGCGATATGCCCTATGCAGTAGACTGAGAATTGTCCCCCCAAATCGTCGATAATGCACCGTGTTGGATTACATCGGTGGATTTATGCTCTGTGCGGAGTTGCGAGGATGCTTTTTCGATGTCACCACGTAGGGAGGCGCACGCATGATCAGGGCTGCTTTGCAAGAAACTAATATTAATGATAGGAGGCTCTTGGCAGAGCAACTATACAATTTGCTCTTCAATTACCCTTCAGATCTGTAGAAATAGTCCTGAATTTCTAGCTAGATAGATTGAATAATATGGACAAGTCTGGTCCGTTCTTAAAACGTTCACAACGGCCACTGCGCGATACGAAAACGACGGGCCCGATGTGAAGTGGTGATGTAGGCACGTGCCTGATCATTATGTGATGCAATTGGTGGTATTCCTATGTTGGTGTATTGATCTCCAATAATGAATCCAATCTCTGGCTGACAACTAATAGAATTCAACATATGAGAAAGATGATCTGGCCTGTGGACAAATATGCAGGACACGCGGCTGAGCTCCTAGAGTCGAATCTCGTCCCGCAAATTTGACTGCCATTCAGTTTTCCTTTCCTTTTCTTTTCTTTTCTTTTCTTTGCTTGATAGATCATAGAGCTCGAATTCAATGTGTGTAACCTTAATCACATCAAGTACCCAGGTACGCAGGATCCCCGTGTCGATCGTCATCTGTTTTGAAGACATGCAAATAAATTTGAATGTATTACTTCAAGCTTCCATTGAACCAAGGCCTTTCCCTAGGCCAAAGGTACTATATCTGGTTGACTTGTATTTCTTCATCTTGTCATCGACTCCTTGTCTTGGCGGCAGGTACCCACCCAGTCACTCACCGCAGACCCACATCCGGGAACAAACGACCAACTCTGCTTCGACACGAATGAGGAGTTCATCAACACACTGCCCGCCTTGTCTTGCGCCTTGAGCAGTCCGATTTCAGTCCAACAATGTATGCACAAGATCATTAGGCGCAACCCTCTACTGGGCCAGGTTCAACGGACAAGCGCGCCGTTGACGGCTGTGGACCTGCAACCAGGGCCATCATTCATCGGTGATGGGTCTGGTCGACTACTCATCGTCCTCCGACGATGAAGCTCCAGCACCGCCAAAGAAGCGCCTAAAAGGCCAAGAGCATGTCTCGGACTCCAAGATGCCCCCGCTGCCTGAAGCTTTCTATGACCTATATGCGTCAACAGTCCGACAAAGTGTAGTAGACGACCCGAGCTTGCATCAGGGGCGGACGAGGCTCAATCCCCATGTGGCCGGCAACTGGCCCACACATCTGTACATCGAATGTGCGCCTTTTCTCGAATGAACCAACTGTGGGTTGCATGTATACTGACTGCGCGGGTAGGGCATCCGACTGAAGTGCAGCACGACACGCTCGATGCGCTCATTAAAAAGACCCAGCAAGAGTTGGGAGACGACATCCAGCTTCACACCTTTCTCAACAGCGATCTTGGCACAGACCTGCCTCTGCACATTAGCCTCTCGCGACCGCTCAGCTTACCCACGTCCATCAAGGACGACTACCTCACCAAAGTCAAGCACAGCATTCGCAGTTGTGGGACGGGCGTGTTCTCAGTGAAGCCCGCTGGCTTGGCGTGGTACAAATCCCCAGACTCGGATCGGACATTTTTCGTCGTACGCATTGCTCCTACGGACGCCAATGACGATTCCAAGCACTTGCGGGCGTCGACCAATCCGGAGCTCATGATGCTACTGACGAGGTGCAACACGGTAGCAGCGCATTTTGATCAGCCTCCTCTCTATGAACAGACACAAGGGGAGTCTGCGGATACGGCGTTTCACATCTCCATTGGCTGGACCCTGGGGGCGCCCGATGAAGAAACGCGCCTTGGAGCGCTGAAGTTATTTCGAGACAAGGAATTTGAGGATATTCACGCCTGGAATGTCAAGGTGGATGGGGTAAAGGCCAAGATTGGCAATGTGGTCACACATATACCCTTACTGGGGAATGCGAAGACAAAGGAGGACGACGATTTTGCGGATTCGCTATACGGGTCGTGAACAACGCAGGGATGTAACAGAAGAGTTGGTATAGAATGGTGAAGCTCAACAAAGCATTAGGAAGCGTGTTTTTTTTTTCATCAGGTTCCGAGGCCTGGACGACGTATACGATCTGATGATTCGCGACAAAGGCAGTTTCAACTCAAAGACTAGTTCGTACAGTCTGTTTTCAATGGCCGGCTACCACCAGCCTTGAGGAACCCACTGCATCGACCTAGTGTTTATGTACCCCTTGACAACGCCACACGGCATGTGGACGCAAAAGAGAGCAAAAGAGATATGAAGCAAAAAAAACAAAGGCTTCTCGCACAATGAGCATCATGCAAGGCTGGCTTATGCACACTGGTCAACCAACACACTAAAAAGTCGGGTTGAGGCCTGCCCGGATCGAACGGACGACCTCCCGGAATCTCCAAGGACTGGAATCGGGCTCTCTACCGCTGAGATAAGGCCCCGCAAGCTTGGCTGCCGGGTTCTTATTTGTGAATATACATGTCAAGCACGAGTCAGAGTGTAAAATTTGCAGTTCAAAGGACCAGAATTCTGTCATTGGTTTTGTGGCTTTGTTCATTCTTTCTGTGCCGGCTTTTTATTGTCACGTCACACAGAAAAGTGCGCTCCTCCTGGGGCGAGGGCTCCGATCGACAGTTCGTGATTCCCAGGATAGTGAGACCTGCAGGCGATTAATGATTCGCTACTACTAGTACTCTCTCTGTACTACCCAAGCATACACCAGACACTTCAGCGCTGAGGGCCAAGAACTTGATACTACGGACAACCAAATATGTGGTCGTCCTGTCCGAAGAAGAATATTTTATCCTGCCTACCTCGAAGGCGAGGTTGTGGTGCATTAATCTTGCACTTGTGCCAACGCCTGAGCGAGCCAATCAACGCTTCCCAGGTGCTCGTAGCTGTTGACGCGCCGAGCACAAGTAACTACATGACTGGAAGCTTTAACAACTTTAGAAGGTTGGACTGAATGGCCCACGCGCCGTTCTTGGTTGTGCATGTATGCAACATGGAAAAAATGTGGTCTCCGGAAGACGGCATTGCAAGTTTTCACGTCACTGTGCAGTAAGTAGTATTTGGACCTCTGTGCCGCAAGTGTGCAGAGTGCGTGCATGAAACAACATTGAAAGCAACATGCAGGGCGCGCTGTGGTTGTGGTTCTTGCACTTGCACGGCTTCAACCTTCAGAGGCCGCGTCCAACGCCCTCAACGTCCTGTCAGGGCTGGGGCTCTGCGCAAGCTCGGCCCAGCCTGCCATTGACCGGTAGACGTCACTGCACAAGCGTGTTCACAGCAACCACTCGACGTCCTTGCATGTTTTTCCAGTCTTGTTGTCATGTTTTTGAGATCGGCGTGATGCGTGCCCACACTAAACCGTTCCGCCCCGACTTTCGGTTCCTTAATCCTGGCCGCCTGCTGCTGCTGGCCCCTCCACACACCTGACCGTGCCTTTTTCATCCCACCTCTGGGCAACTTTCTTCAACCGTTGAGCGGCTTGTCTTCTGGCCCTTTGTCCTGCGTGCCCAGACGCGCGAAATTGCTATATATTGGCGCCAGGAGCACCCGCAACAGCTCGCCACCATCGACTCAATCCCTCCGGCAAGCACATCGCATCTTGGAAAATCCCAAATCCATCAATCCCACAATCCACTAGAGAGTGGCCATCCGCCCCTCCCTCCGAGTCCCTCCCCTCCCTCCCCGCACCACAACTTGGACCAGACGCATTGGCCCTTCACGCGCCAGTCGTGCTCAAGAGCTTTCTTCCCCTCCAAATATTTTCCAATCCCAAAAATCTGGGGAGACAATCGACCTCTCCGCCGGCCCAAGTGGTGAGAGCAACACGCATTTCCATCAAGCCCGTCGCATCAGCTGCGCGGCAAAGGTCAACCAGTCGCTTCACCAGTCGAGTCAACAAACCGCCGTTGCCTACGCCGACGCGCCATAGACGACATGGATATCGACATGAGCCGCCGGAACAAGGTCCCTCGGTCCTTGTCAGATGCCGAACGGGCGCGACTCGACGAGTACATTGACTCAATTCACTATTCCGCCAGGTAAATTTTCCGGCCTTGAACATGGGTGCTTCACCGCCGTTAGCTGGTGTTGCTGGGGGTAACGCAATCCAAATGCTGACCTAGGCGTGTTTTCTTTCTCCTTCTAGATACTCTGACAGCGAATACGAGTACCGACACGTGCAACTACCCAAAGCAATGCTCAAGGCCATTCCCAAGGACTATCACGACACCTCCAAGGGAACTCTGAAGCTTTTGTGGGAGGAGGAATGGCGAGCGATTGGTATTACCCAGGTACGCGCTGTTTCCCCCCTGTCTGCCTTTGAGGCCCTGGCTTCCTTTTCTGGGCGGGAAACGAACAAACAAATGTTTCGGAGGAACCAATCATTGACCACTACCACAGAGTCTCGGCTGGGAACATTACGAGGTCCACGAGCCCGAGCCCCATATTCTGCTGTTCAAGTAAGTCACCTTTGTGTACACATGGACCGGAATCGGCCTGGGCTTGTTCCCCAGAGCTAACAGGTGCCGATGCAGACGTCCTCTCAACTACCAAGCGCCTCAGTGAGCGATTCATCTTTTTTTATTTCAGCTTGAAACCTCATGTACGATAGTCTCAATTCCGCCACTTCCACCGCCGTCGGTGCTTGCTGCATGTGCGGCGCTTGATTCATGCCCTCTCACGATATTACGGTCTGCACTTTACGATATTTGGGTTGATAGAAATATCAATACACCACGGTCGAGAACGCTTTGCCCTCACACTGGCATTCCGCATTTTTTTTCTCTTCATGGCGTGCTTGCCGTCGCTCCTCAATTGATGACGCCTCATTGGATGTTTTGGGGCCGCGGATTAGATGCGTTGGGGCTCCTCGGGGCGTGCCAGATATTTGCTACATGGCAATGGACACGAAGTGAGTTTTATTTGGAGATTGCTTTTTGTTGGTTTTCTAGAGATTCAGGTGTTGCCGCGCCAGCTTGGGGAAGTTTTTTTGCTCTTACCAGGGTTCATATGCGTTTGCCATTGTACGTTGCGAGGCAGTAGCTTCGCAAGTAGCACGCGGGAGTTGGTGGGTAGTTAGAATGTAGACGGAATTGATTAATAAGTCAACTAGTTTAGGTTTGTTGAGCGTGATTGTGAACGTGCTTCGCTCGCCGCGACTGCAGGTTTGTGTATGCCGTACCTCATTCTTGCTACCCTGGAGCCACTCGCGATTGGATTTAGCTTGGCATCATCAGACATAGGACGAAGTTGGCAGCATGAGTCAGACTCGTTCTATGCCATAAAAATGCCCGAAGTAAAGCTGAGTCATTTCGCCTGATGTTTGATGACGTGCATTGTGTCTAGAACATATATTGACCCTCAACTTGAAACGACAGAATAATTCCGGGATTGCCCAGGAACCGAATGTTGTGGTGGTCCCACTACTGCGTGGCTGTCACGCCACGACCGACTAAAGTACGAAGTATTACTAGTGTCTGGTACTTTCAACTCTATTGTCCGGCTCATTGCCCGCACAGAGGGTAGCCTCGTGACGACGGGCAATCGCACCAAGCCCGTATATCCTAGGCACAATGCATGGAAATAAGAGCTGCTGCGGCAAAAGCCAAGCCAGTCGCATGATGTAAAGGACAGATATAATCGGCTCCATTATGCGCGTCGCAATGGTGGATGAAATGTTATGCGCAGCCGCAACAGTTGGACAACAGCCCAGATGGTCCCAGATATCGATTCTACACCCAATCAGGTCGAGTGCCGGAAAGTCACTGACACCTTGGCCGTGGCATGACATTGGAGACGTTGCAGCACAGCGCTGAGCGGGTACGGGAGGAGGTGAGATGATGATGGGACGAATTGGAAGGAATGCAGGGAGGCGCTTGCCAAAATGAAAACAACTGGACACCTGTCGCGGCGGAGAACAAACAAGAGGCCACATCGTCACTTCCATTTTGGTCCGCATGCCCACCCGTTTCGTGAATGATATGAATCGGACATCTACTAATTTTTTTTCTTCCTTTTTCTTTGCGCATCACTCTTTCTTTGATTGAATTTTATCGGATCTTCGCCTTCCCGCCCGATGCTTGCTTGAGCACTGGCGCTCCTCTCCACAGACGTCTGCCTTGTGTGAATAAGTGGTTCCATCCCGCTCCGCAGGCTCCGCAGTTCGAAGCCAAGTTTTGATTAGTCTGGCCTTGATTGATCATCATCAGACAGCGTGGCATCTTCATATCATTCCATTGTGCCCTAGGTTTCTGTATCCCTTGGCCCGTATATATTGTTTTCCGTTTGCGAGAAACCGCGTTTCTAGAGTTTGTCCTTTCCTTAAATTTGAGGCGGTTCTAAACTCAATACCTTGTCGGCGAGCCCGGATTTGTGCCTTCGTTCAAGCCACCTAGTCTGGTGGCGCGCTGTCGATAAGATAACTGTCGCTTGGGTGCGCAGGAACTGGTCTTTTCGTCGCCTTCTCGAACCACCGCGTCGCCCAGTTACAACTCTACAAGAACGAGAAACCACACGCTCTTCTTTCCGGAAGCTTGTTCTCGTCGATTGCCAAGTCATGATGAAGTCTGCAAGCAGGCTATTCTATCTATCCGTCTTTGCGCTCTGGGCATCGCCTGGAACTTGCGCTGCAGGGAGTGAAAGCAATTGTGCTGTACGTCGTTCCTTGGATGAAAGTCGTTGCGCCCGCCGAGGCCTTTTCTAACAGCTTCACTTGACAGATTTCCCCAAAGTCTATTGTTCAAGATGCGTGCGCCTCATATTCAACCCTCGAGAATCTGAATGACCGGGTTAAACCTGCCCTTGACGACCTCACGCGAACCACCGACTTCTTCTCATACTACCGCCTTAATCTCTTCAACAAAAAGTGTCCTTTCTGGGACGACTCAAATGGATTCTGCGGCAACATAGGATGTGCCGTCGAGACGCTCGATAACGAAGAGGATATACCTGAAGTGTGGAGGGCGAAGGAGCTGTCAAAGTTGGAGGGACCCCTTGCGAAGCACCCTGGCAAGCAAGAGCGCAAGCAACATCCGCAAAGACCGTTGCAGGGAGAACTGGGTGAAAACGTGGGTGAAAGCTGTGTAGTTGAGTACGACGACGAGTGCGATGAACGAGATTACTGTGTTATTGAAGACGAGAGCGCTTCATCCAAAGGCGACTATGTCAGCTTGCTTCGAAATCCCGAGCGCTTCACCGGATACGGTGGAGAGGGCTCCAAACAGGTGTGGGATGCTGTGTATCGCGAAAATTGCTTTCAGAAGAGTTCGTTTTCGCATTCTGCAAATCTCGGCATGTCCTACAATTACAATCCGGCCGCTCTGGGCTTCAAGCAAGTTATGGATGCTGCAGGACGGCAAGCCCAGCTTGAGGCACAACGTCTGCAGCACCCCAACACTCCCTTTGTTGCCAGCACCGGGTACGAAGTTGACGATGAATGCCTGGAGAAGAGAGTCTTTTACCGAGTCATGTCCGGCATGCACGCGAGTATCAGCGCTCATCTTTGCTGGGACTTTCTGAACCAGACCACTGGAGAATGGCAGCCCAATCTGCAGTGCTACAAGGACCGTTTGCACGGATTCTCTGACCGAATCAGCAACCTCTACTTCAACTACGCGCTTGTCACCAGGGCTGTAGCCAAGCTCGGCCCAGAACTGGCCGGACCCGACTACACATTCTGCACGGGCGACCCGACCGAGGACTTGGTCACTCGCGTCAAGGTGTCCGAGGTGGCAAAGCAGGCAGCGAGTATCCCTCAAATCTTCGACGAGAGCCTCATGTTTGTCAATGGCGAGGGCCCATCCCTTAAGGAGGATTTCCGCAATCGATTCCGCAACGTCAGCCGGCTCATGGACTGTGTTGGGTGCGACAAGTGCAGGCTCTGGGGCAAGATACAAACCAACGGATACGGCACAGCGCTCAAGATACTCTTCGAGTCCGACAACCACAGCAACAAAATCCCCGTCCTCAAGAGAACGGAACTTGTCGCCCTCTTCAACACGTATGCGCGACTGAGCTCATCGATGCGAGCCGTTGGGAAATTTAGGCAAATGGTGGATGCGGAAAGCGGCCACAAGCCAGCGGCGGCAACCGAATCTGCCGCAGTTGAAGATGAGAAGGTCAATGAGGAGGGCACCGAGGAAGAGGACTACGACCCATCCTACCTGTGGCGTGAACTGGAAGATATGAAGCGGCGTGGGCCCAAGAGCAGTTCGTTTCGGGACCAGTGGGCACACGAGACTGCGCTTATTCGGCAATCTGTCAAGGTGGTTCTTCACGGGTGGCTGCACGGCTCGATTCTAATGTACGTTTAAGACATGGCCGTTTTCTATGGACTTGAGGTTTCCACATGCTAACGTGTTCTGTTTCAGATATCGCATTGCAGTGACGGAGGCCCATCGTCTTTGGCTCTACTTTCTCGGTTTGCAGCCAGGACCCGGCTTGGTCGATTATAGATGGGCGCCGAAAGACAAGAAGACGGAGCTGTAAGAATAGGTTGGCATCTTTGGCGTTTTGAATCAGCATTGCATCGGTTTTTTTTCTTTTTTGCAAAAATTATTACAGGAATGACTATATACACTTTGAGAATGGGCATTCGTAAATGCCGGATCTATCCATATGCAACCGTCGACCCCTGCCAAGAGTCTACCAGGGCTGTGAAAGCACACCCTAGCCGTCTTCTATATCGGGGACGTGCTCTTGGGAGCTGTATCCTCCTCGAAGTCCTTCTATGGTAAAATAACGATAGTTTTGCATTGGGTGGGTCGCGACATCTTGCATTGCGTCCTCCTCAAAGTCCCTCTATGGTAAAATAGCGATGGTTTTGCTCGGGGCAAGTGGCTGTTCATCGACATGAGGGACGGCGTCGAGCCGTGATCAACCTCCGTTTTCGATGCCGTGCACCTTGAGCACCACCAGGCAAGGGATTATAATGAATTTCCCCCCGTTCCCACCCACTTTATTTGTATTTGTGGTTTGTAAAAAGGTTCGGCGGACCGGCATTTTGTTTGGTGCATTTGGCGGCTGCGCTTCCTTTAAGTGCGGCAAGGTGCAGCTTTTGCATGCATCTACTCCAGAGCGTAAATCAAGTATTTCTACCTGTTCTTGGCTGCAAACGTCGCTATTAAAGTACTGAGAACCATTAATAATACTTCTACAATAAAAATAGACTACCGAAGGTAGGTGCGCACGAATGTACTTACTTATTCCTCAATTCCCATTGGATGCGATTCCCGTAAGAGACTCCATGTTTGCCCGCACGCAATGTTGCCGCACTTACGAGGCTGGGATGCTTATGAATTGGTATGTCGAGAGCGAGACGAGCCGGCCGGCAGCGGGGTGATCTTGTTGTGGCGCGACAGTGAAGGGAGCGTTGTGGTAGGCGGCTGAGACGGGAGCCATAACGGTAGTCGTCGGGTGTGGGGATATGGACAGGGGTGCCTGTGTGCTTTGTGGACTCGTCCATGACATTGATCGGCCCGCGTCGGCTTCTAATGCACGTGGAGTGGATGGAACGTGGGACAGTGGAATCAAGGGTCCTTCTACAACGATTGAACAAGACTAATCAGTATGGTTCCACCGTCATGTTTCTTTGCAGCACAGGTTGGCTATGTTTCTTTTCTTAAGGGACTGAAATTACCATCGGACATGTCAGACGTGCGCCGCCGTCGGCGTCCCAGCCGGCAACGTCTCCAGCCCCATAGTATGACGAGGGCTTGGGGCACGGCGAGGAGCAGGGCCACGATGGCCAGAGTTGTTTCGGTGCTGATGGCCATGGGGCTGCCTTTTTTTCTTCCTTTTTTTTTTTTTTTTTTTTTTTGATTTTGGGGATATGATGTGCTTTGCGCCTGTGAAGTGTGTAACTGGCAGAAATAAATTAAAAAAGGAATTTTGGGGAATAGAAACAGAGGGAGTGAGGGCCTCAAGTCTACATGTGAGCTTGGGTTGGACGTGGCATATATACTAGTTGACGTAAAAGATGGATCAGAGGAGGACGGACTGGAGGGCCGGATGACGCCTTGCTTTTTCTATCTAGTATCAAGTATCAAGCGCTACGCGAGACGCATCAATTGATCGCGGCCGGACATTAACAGGCCTGATCCCTTTGACTGCGGTGAGGTCCAAGTTTTGTACCCTGCAGGGATTCTGACCAATCAAAAAAATCAAAATAAAAGGTACAAAGATCTACGAGGAAATAGTATGACAATATAAGTACTTATAATTCCCGAGGCTATAAAGCGCTACATAACATCCCTGGAATTATAACGCAGTAGAAAAGTACCTGCTAGGTATCGTAGAAAGGTGGGCCCGATACCTTAGTTGGACCTTACCCCAGTCAAAGGGATACGTGGTTATTACAATGCCACTCACTCGAGGTCACCGGCTGTCGACAGGGGCTTTTTGTGGATTCTCACAGTGCTACGTAGACCAGACCTCACTGCCGCCTTCGCTGCTCTTAGGGGATGTACAAGGTACGTACCCAAGTTCCGCAGATTCGGAGACCTCTCTTCGTGTCAAGGCCAGTAAAAATATTGGGAGGCGGAATCTTGATACGGAGTATTGGTTGTATGTATACCCCGCCGCCTGATATTCAAGGGTCCAGAACGTATTGCAGATGGTCATGTCGGGTCTCGGAGGTCGGGAAGCGGCGGCACCTGGGGGTCAATTGCACCCTTGGTGCGCGGGAGGCCCTGGATGGAGGGCACAGCCAAGTTGACGAGTCCAGTGGATGAAGGTGGCAGCACTTGACATCTGGAGCCATCAAATCAAATCCTTATTTGATGATCCGGTCCCATCACCAGACGCTACACGGCCAGGTGAACCGGCCAGTTATCATGTTGAAAACCAGGGCAGCCTTGCCCGCCTTCTTTTGCTATTGACGAGTTAGGTCAATGCGTTTCCGCCAGAAATGTCTCACATTTGAACTCCTTTTACGGACAGCCCTGAAATCATGCTGTCGGCCTCTGCTTGTTATCACGTACCATGTAGAGTTGCATTTTTATCGAACAAATCCACCCCCAAAAAGCTGGGGGTGTGGTTTGGGGTAAGTGTTCTCTTCTCTTCACCCTTTCATCCTTGTAATTAACCTTGGTAGTCAGTCTGGTATGTATTCTAGCAAAGGTTACAGTTGAGGAAGGCTAAGCAGCGAGGCGCTCCATACTACGTAAGCAATTCAATGTTATGAATTTACCCATCTACTACCACTACCGCCACTACTGGAGTCGAACGAAACATGGAGCACTGGGGAACATCTAGGGCGAGAAAGACACGAGAGTCGGACAATTTGAACCAGTTGACGTCACCACTAAAGTGTGTGGTCTTACGCGGATCCTACGAGTACACTGAGTCACTGACATGGCTGCTATCAATGAGGCAGTTGGCCATTTGATCAAATACTGGTAAGCCAGGCGGCTTGGAGACGAGCCACTCGGGCCACGACACATCATCCAGTCATGTCTGGTCTTTTACGTGCTTGAGGGCGATTCAAATTGAAAGCCGACTACAAAATCTGCCTACTTATTAGATAGCTCTTATGTATGTCTAAAAAATGCAATGCAGCCATATGTACATGTACATACCGCTGACCTGTCGGGTCATGGACGCTGCACGACGCACGACGATTGAACGAGCTGCCTGGATTGCTTCGACCAGACACTTGTGAGCCTCAGCCTCAACCTGCGCCCCTCCATCACTCAGGCGCAGTTCCTTCCCCTCAGTTTGCCTGGTTCAATGTTGCCTTGGAGGTACCGCGTGCGATGGACAGATTCATAAAGGGATGGGTTCAGCAACATACCCTCTTGCATTTCGCACTTGCCCATGAAGCGTTTGCGTGCAGCACTTGGACGATGGGCTCGATACGTGATGCATCTCAATTACTTTCACATTTAGACACGATTGACGAGTCCACCGCGACTTTGATTGCGCCTTCAGAGTATATGCTTCCCCAAGTCTCCTCGAGGTGCTAGCTAATATTGTATGAAGTCTGGCCTCCTGCCTTTTTCTGCCTCTACTCGTCTGTTTTAGTATTACTCATTTATTTTATTTTAACTTATTTTCTTACACTTGCCTTTTATTCTCCTCTTACATCTTTTTTTTTGTTCGCCTCTTTCCCGTCTTCTTCTTTCTTCTTCCTGCCTGCTCTTCCGTCTCCTTTCCCCAGTGTTTCAAAATTAGTAAAGACACTCGACCAATTCTCATTTGTCAAATAGCTGGGTTTGCTTGACGGGGATTATACATATGGCTTTGAACTGTGCTTGCTAACCTTTTGATCCAACGTCAACAGGTGCGTACAAGCTATTTACCAGCATCAACAAGCGTGTCGATTCAGTAAGGAAAACGGAAGGAGGGTATAATCTGTCACATCAACATTTATGAACGTGTGGGGAATGCTGAACATTCTTGTTGATAGTGCCTGGCTCCCAGGCTGGCGACGTCCAATTTCGGGCGTCCAGCTACGTCAATTGGAGTCAGCATCCTCGACGGCTTGTCGGCCCAAGAGGTCACCTTGCAGCTGATACGCGCGTTTTCCCAAGTCTAGTCTGGAAACCGAAATTGGGTGCGTTGCGGCGTCTCCCGATCAAGCTGTTGTTGCGTCGTCCGTGTCGGGATGGAGCTGTGCCGCCCCCGAGGAGACACGTTTGCAGAATAAAAAATAACATTTGCGGCGCTAATTACTGCAGAATAAATAATAACAATCTTATCGGAGCTCTGTTTCCCGTGATGCTTTTATTGTGCAGGAGACCCGAATCGGCCTAGACAAGGAACGCAGAATTTGCTGGAATGTCTGGCATGCCTCCGGCGTGCAGAGGCCCAGCATTTACCACGTGCGATTCACCGATCTGACCCAGATACCACTGTTTTCATCCAATTAAGACTGTTATTATATCAAATAAACATGGTGTTTTGGGAAACGTCCATAATCGGTATTTGGCCCATCTCGACGAGGCCGAGAGTGTAAACATCATCATCGGCCAAACAGAAACAATTCGATAATAAGACTATGCAGACCTCCGTAGGCTAGGTTTTAGGAGCTGTTGGCAGATATCCCCCCTGTGCTCAATTTGCTGACTGCGAATGAAACCTGACATCTGAACTATTTCTGCCTAAGTGAGCAGGTCGTCCTTAATATCGGCTGGGACGAATCATTCAGACTAGATGCATGGTGCGCCCACTTCTAGAAGTCTACCGAACAATTTGGCAGAGACTCGATGCGCCGTCACAAACATGACGGCCCTGTCCAACCATTGCCTTGAGCCGCCGCTCGCCCCCGGCGCCAAAGATGCACCCTTGTCCACGGATTTGTCCTCTGGTCGTGGTTTACCTGCACCAAAAATCCTTGCCATCGCTCGCAAGGCAATGCGAGATGCTATCCTGAGCGAAGGGTTGGCTGGGCAACTTGGCGATGAAGTCGTCGGTTTGCAGTCCGGCGTCACCATCGACCTGAGCCGCAGTGCCATCCCAGAGCTACCGGAGGAGCTTGTGGACATATTCAAGGATAAGCTAGAAAGGTTCGTTTGTGCAACGATTAAAACCATGAGCATGGGCAAATGTTAATGCTGACAAAACGCCGGTGCCTCGACAGATTGGCCTTGTCGCACAATCAGCTGTCGTCTCTGCCGATGCGGCTTTCAGAATGTACCTCGCTACGGTACCTGAATATCAGGGCAAACAAGATTAGGGAGTTTCCATTGCCCGTAAGGCAAATCTACAGACCGAGACTCCTGCCACTGTGAACCAGGCGCTAACTCCGCAGCAGTTATGCCACTTGAAGCGCCTTGAGATTCTGGATCTCGGTCAGAACCAACTCCGTGTGCTGCCTCCAGAGGTTGAGAATTTATCGTCACTCAAGGTTCTTTCCATCCCGAAGAACCAAATCCGGGAGTTGCCATTATGCCTAGCCAATATGGCGTCTTTGCAGGTCCTTAAAATTAAAGGCAACCCAATCATCTTTCCGCCACAGGATCTCATCTCTACACTCGCCACCACCTCCCTTGAAGAAGATAGCTCCGTCGGCAGTGACACGACAGAGGTTGCTATGACGGCACGCATCAAATCGATCCTAAAGCAGGAGGCTATTAATAGCCGCGTGGAGCCAGACATCTCAAACGACTCCAGTCACTCCACTGCCCCGGTTGACGAGACTCCGCGCCCAAGACGGAAACGAGCTGTAAGTGGGCGGTTTCCGATAAAGGTGTCTGGATCAGAAGTTTCCGGCATGCGCTACCAAAGAATGGGACTGGGTTTCCACCCAATGCCTTCTAAACTGCATTGTCGCGAACAGTCCCATCCTTATAGAAGCGCTCGAAGGACAGTTGCGCCTTCAGCGACGGGCAATGCTGAAGAACGCCTCCGGAGTAAATCGGAAACCCTATCGTGCTTAGGCCACCAGGATAGATGGAACCGATACGCAGAACTCAAAGAGACCGGAGAATGTAATCTTTACAACCGAGAACCGAGCTACGACTGTACCACGCAGGGAGCTAGGACTGGGCACAAGAGCGCTACTACGTCCTCGGAATCAATTCTCCAGCAATCCATCTACGCCAGGCGACTCTCTGTGATACCCAAGCGGCGTCGGATATCGAAATGCTTCAACCCAATCATTGCGTTTGCCAGGGGGATGCTTTACGCCGTTCTCCAAATCCACCCCATGATCCAGCAGCTGGCCATCTTGGCTCGCGGCGAACTCGATAGCCAGCCCAGCCTGCAAATAGTCATTTATAGTACAAATTGCCACATAGAAGTGTTGGAGCTAGAGATACAAAAGTACGATACAACAGCCCCGGAAACCGAGGACCATTCAACCCAGACGAACATTGTCCTCCGCGCGTGTCAGACGCTCATGGGAGCGTACCGGCATATATGCACCCTGCTTGCGGATAGCGCAGATGCACCCGTCGACAACGGACACGCACGATATGTTCGAACAATATTGACATTACTCTACAATTGCATCATGGAGCTCCGCGCCACCACTCTATCCGTCACAACCGAGTGCGCGGACTGTGCTTCTGAACACGCCGCCCATCGCCAAGATGGCTCCGGTGCCGGTGCCGGTGCCGGTGCCGACGCCCGGGACAAGCCTGCCGCACCGCAAAGCCGAAACGAGGACATGATGCCAAAATCTAGCCATCCTCCATCCAGCCGGGGGCCAACTCCGATGTCGCCGCGTCCGGAGCCAGGGCACTTGCAGCCTCCCGACTTGACCCTCGCCATGTCCGACCCGGACGGGCTATTCGAAAAGATACTCGTGTGCCTACAAAACTCGGCCACCATGATGCTGCGCATCCTGCCCGCCTTTGGGGGCCATCTGACGCATGGGCTTCGCAACGCGGTGCGCAGGCGCGCGCCCACGTCGCACATCCAGCACTGGCGGTGCCTGACAAAGGAGTGCGCCAACGCCATCCAGCACACGCAGACGGTCAAGCGCGAGATCTGCTGCGTCAAGCTGCGCGGGCGGGCGGACCGGCCGACCGCCGAGTTCTGGGACCTGGTCATTGGCTTCATCGCGTCGTGGACGGCGCTGGTGGCGGAGATTATGGCGTGCATCAACAAGATCCTCTTGCCGCCGGATACGAGGGCGCGCCTGAGGCCGATCCAGGAGAGCATGAAGGAGACGAGCCATGCGGTCGTGCGGTCGCCCTGGTGCGATGTGCTTGCGGCGGGGGGGTTGAAGGCGGCTGCTTTGCCGGGTCTGGCTGCGTCGGCGCCTCGAGGTGTATCTGCGGAGATGGCTGGACGAGCGGCGGGTGAAGGGGGTTTTGTGACTGTGGCCGTGCGTGGGAATGGGTTTGATCGTGGAGATGGGCCGGGACATGGTAGTGCTGGTGTATCATTGTCGCGGGGGGATGCGGTGAGACAGTTGAGTTTTGCTTCGCGGCCGTGTGTCTCGGCGGCTTTGGAGACGACTGCTTTCAAGAGTGGCTGAGCGTGGATGAGAAGGGATTGGCAAAGGAGAGAATCAAGAGGTGCATGGTGGCTTGTGGCATCGAGGGGGGTGTTGGGACGTGTAGTTAAGGGGCAGGCTGAGAAAATGGATCCAAGGATTAGATTATGACCATTGTATTTGAGGCGATGTAATGAAGATGATGAATGTACTAGACAAGACGGCGCCGTCACACATCACGGTGTGTTGGCTGTCTCCGAGCATAACTCGTGTACGCCTTTGCAGACGCCGCTCTGAACTTCTTGCCCCAAATTAACAAAATGACGGGAATCAGCAAAATGGCACAACATAGCACAGAAACAAGAATGTGGACATTTCGCAGCCCCATGCCGCTGATCCAGGGCGTCAGAGTAAAGAGCACGACGACCGAGAAGGCATTGCGTGTGAATATGACGCCGACAAGGGCATTGCCGATGATCTGGCGAGTAATTAGCCACTGCGGTCATTGCGGAAACAGACGGGACGAACATCGTGATAGCAGTCCATGGCGTAGGAAAGGGCAATGTCGCCCGCGACAACGAGACCGAATCCAAAGATGCCGTATCCGACGGCAACCAGTGGCCAAGGCGAGCCCTATACAACCAAGTCTTCATCAGCAGAGCTACAGACGGATAAAACGTCGGTAGGACGCACATATGCCAAACCAACGCCGCACATGAGTATGCCGGCCGGCGTTATGACCGCCATGGGCAGAGCAAGCCAGAGACGCATCTCGGGCTCGTAAATGCCGCCGTTGCGCCGCGCCAGCCACACGATAGACTTGTCGTTCATCCACCCGCCGAGGAAAATACCCGGAAAGGTACCAATAAACGGCGCGACATTCATCAGGCCTACACCCGCGGCGGTAAAGTTGTACGGCGCACTAAACAAGTACGTCGCCTGGACAGAGGTCAAAATCGCAAACCACGCCAGCAGACTGCCGTACGTGAGGGCCGTGTACGCGATTGCCGGAAAGGTAAACAGCAGCACGACGGGCTGGCAAAAGTCGTGCAGCATGTCCGTCCTGCTGCTTGTGACCCAGGCCATGCGCTGCCTATACCCGGCCAAGGGGATCGAGCGGTCGATCCGAACGGCAGATCTGCCGCGCTCGACTTGCGCGACGGAGTGCTTGTCGTCCCCTGCGGACGGAGTCGGAGTCGGAGTCGGTTCCACGCCGTTGATAAATTTGGATTCCTCGAATAAAAAGATAATAAGGACGAGGTTGACGCCAAACAGGATAACGCACCACCACCACATCCACCGCCACCCCTGGCTTTCAACAATATACCCAGAGGCCACTGGGCCCAGGTACGCGCCGGTGAAGGTGAAGAAGAGGTACCACCCGTTCATGAGCGCGTGGTGGTGTAGAAAGAACAAGTCGGCAATGGTAATCTGCACAATGGTCTCGCTGATGGCGCCCCCGAGGCCGGATAATAGGTTGCTGCCGATAAAGTCGGCCCTGGTGTGCGTCACGGCAAACCACACGCATGACACGAGCTGGAGGAGCGTGCTGAGCAGGTATAGGGGTCGGCGGCCGTACCTGTGGACGAGGGGCACGAAGAAGATACACCCGATGGCGAGGCCGCCGTAGTTGATGGCGGCGCCGGCGTTGAGCAGGTCAATGGAGAAGTTGAGCTCGTCCTGGTACTGCCCCCACGCGGTGAAGCCAATGTCCAGCTGGACAAAGGTGAGGAGCACGTAGAACGAGACGAGGCTGAAGTTGAGGTGTTTGCGCCATGCGGCCCAGTTAAGAGGATCATTGGGGTTTGTGGTTGGAACCGGGTGCAGGATTACCTCCTCCTTGGGACGATGTACTGTGTGTGAAGGGGGGCGTTAGATTGACGAGATGAATGAAGTTGTGCTGAAAGTAGGGCTTACAGTCTTTGAGGGCGATGGTTCCGGGAACCCAGAAATCAGCATCGTGTGGAGGAGGCTCGTCCGAGGGCTGGTTCATGGCGAAACGATTCGGATGGGACGAGAGAGGTAGAGATAGTAGCGATTGAGGGTGATACAACTAGACCAAGGCTATGTTGAGGTCGTCTTCTACTGCCGTTTTACAAGTTTGGAATCGTCAACGGTGCAGAGAAAGCATGCTCGACTATCAGAGTCAGCCACGGCAGCGAGGCGCGCCGAGTCTGGTCTTTGGCATTGTACCGGGCTAATGGAAAAAGAAGCTTATCTGGCGGGTTGCGCGCGGTGGCTGACGGCCAGGTTGATGTCTTGATATCTTGATTGCGGTTTCGCCAACGCCACACCTCCGCATTCCGGCTGTGGACCTGCCACATGGAGATCCCACACTCGTCTCGTTGCCCTCTTTCAGTTAAGCCATTTGATTGATAACACTTCGATGCACGACCCGCGGAATCCACTGTGGCTGTGGCCGCTCCGGGCTCGGATCGGGGCAAGGCGTCGGGCCCTTACCCCGCGTTATCAAGACATGCAGCGGCCAATCACAATGTGCTTGTTGAATAGGCCGGCTTGGCGTGGTGAAGAATGATCCCGGTCCCTAGATTCCTGGATGCGGTTTAGGGTTTAGTTGGTACCCGACTGTTTAATGTTCTTCTTAGTCCTGGACGGAAACTTGCCGGGTCCGCATTGCTGACCAGAATCGACGACTCGCCGTCTGACCCGTTGCGAGGTGAAGGAGTTGCCCAAAGCTCTTGTACAGGCATCTCGGATCCCGAGGCGACCGGCGGTCCGTTTCTCCAAGCTGAACACGACTATAATTGAATACATTTGGTTCCAGTTGATAAATACGGACGTTCCCAGAGACGCATCGCTACCAATCATCAGCCACTCCGCACGCCGCACACCAGCTTGCTATCAACTCCTCACCTCAGCAGCAACCACCACAATGGCTCCCAAGGTAGATGCCAGCGTCATAGCCGAGCTCGCTGCCCAGGCACTCCAAGACCCCCAGCTGCCTCGGGAGAACCCAACCGTCTCGTTTTGGCAAATGCCTCCGCACCCGTCCCTCTCCGAAGTACAGTCCCCGAGTCTGCCCTCGACGACAGACTACGCCGTCATTGGCTCAGGCGTCACCGGGTGCAGCGTAGCAAAGCATCTTCTGGACAATTCGCCCTCCGACACCTTTTCCGTCACCGTCTTCGAGGCACGCGCCCTCACAAGCGGCGCCACCGGCCGAAACGGCGGCCTCCTCACCTCCTTCGTCCCCGGCGACTACAAGCTGCTCAGCGACCGCTTCGGCCACGAGCAAGCCACCAAGATTGCCCGCTATGCGAACCGGACCCTCGAAAAGATGCACCAGCTCGCCAACTCGTCTCCGGAATTCCAAGCCGCCAGCGACGTCAGAAGAACCCTCGACGTGGTCCTGTTCCAGGACCTAGCATCCCGCGACGCATCCAAGGAGTCGTGGGCCCTCTACGAGGCGCACGTTCCCGAAGACAAGGGCAAGGCCGAGTTCCTGACGCCCGAGCAGGCCGAAGCCGTAAGGTCCAATTTCGTCTTGAAAGGTGCGAACCTACTAACGTCCGGTTGGTAGAAGTATGGCGTCAGGGCAAAGGCCGGCGCCGCCGTCTTCCCCAACGGGGCCTTCTGGCCGTACCGACTCATCACACGGGTCTGGGGCCAGGTGCTCGACCGGCACGGGCGCCGCGTCTCCGTCGAGACCAGGACGCCCGTCACGGAAATCACCCACGACGCGGCCTCGGACCCCGAGCACCCGTACGTCCTCCACACACCTAGGGGGGAGGTGCGCGCGGGAAAGATTGTCCACGCGACCAACGGGCACGCCGGGCACCTCTTGCCGGGGCTGCGCGGCAAGATTTACCCGTTGCGTGGGACCATGTCGGTGCAAAAGGCGACGGAGGCGTTTGGCAACCGCGGCGGCGAAGTGACCTGGAGTGTGTTGGGGGGAGGCACCTACGACCCCGGGACGGAGATTGTCGACGTTGGCCTCTTGTACTCGAACCAGAACCCGAGGACGGGCGATATTTTCATCGGTGGTGAAAAGGCAAAGATTCGGGAAGTGCTCGTCAGTGACGATTCGCAAATTGGTGCCCCGTGCGTTGAGAACTTGTCTTCTGTTTTGCCGACCATCTTCACGAGGGGCTGGGACGACGGGGAGAAGCCTGAAGTTTGCAAGATTTGGTCGGGCATCATGGGGTTTACCGCGGACAGACTCCCGATTATCGGGGCCTTGCCTCTGGAGTTTACGAACAGGGGCGACGAGGGCGGCGAGTGGATCGCCGCCGGGTTTAATGGGTATGGCATGCCGCTGTGCTGGTCTGCTGGCGAGGCCGTGGCCAAGATGCTGCTCGGTATTGATGTGGGTGACTTTTTGCCCGAGGTGTTTGCTGCTTCGAGGGAGCGGTTGGGTGATGACGAGAGGATGAGCCCGCGTGCTGCGTTGGATTTGTTTTTCGGTGGGCACGTTTAGATGATGTGGGATGAGAAGAAGTCTAGATGGGAGCTGAATATGGACTTGCTTAGAATATATAGAATATATGCTGCGTTGTTCTGAGAATCAAAGTTTGCAGCCCATTCCGCGCGTAATATCTTCGGTGGCGGCGAAGAATGTCCCACAAGAATGAAAGGAGGCCTTTTGCTCCCTTTGGAGGAATATGCTAGCGTAGCAGCATCCTATCTCGAGGTTTGGGCGAGTACAATGCACATTAGTGATGTACAACAGCTCGTTGTGGCAGTTGCGTAGTTCTGGGTGTTTGCGATGCCGGCAAGGCACATAGGATGCTTGAGTATTTGTTGCAGACTTGTCGCAACAGGTATTGTGTTTAACTACTATGAAATGGAGCAAAAAGATCCAGCCATAGTGTTTATCGGCTAATATCTCAATGTTCAGCTTCCACGTATGCTCCTTTGACCCTTTACATCAAAAGTGTAAGGTAGGCCATCTTTGATCTAGCTCGTTACATACGTCCACCTCCATAAAGCCATTTTATTCACTTGCACGATTTGAGATGTGGCTGACATGCTGGTGGCTACATTCGTCAAGAATAGTATACGAATATGAATGACTTGGACAC